AAGGGGTCAGAACACACAGTGTATCACAGTTTGTTGGTATGGGGCTGCAGAACAGTATGACCACCAGGGTGCCCAGGGGGTCACAATGTTATGGCTGATTAAAGTATTCCATATAAAGGCAAGTGGTGGCCTAAAGGTTGGAGAAGTTCACAGAACGTGTGACCTGGAGGTTGTCAGTTCAATCTTCAGACAGGCAGGATAAATCTGGCTGGGGAAAATAAAGAAGCAGTGTGTAACTGTGTAAATGTTATCAGGGTGTTCCTGCAAAAGAGAGGCTTCCTCCTAGTGAATATTCCTTTATAAATTAAGGTTAAAGAAAACCCAAACAATTTAAATGTCACATTTATGCATATGAACTAATATGAATAACCTTTAAAGGGAATTTTTTAAAGAGTATTTTTCAACCTGGACAACCTGTTTTTGTGTGAATGTGACTAATTGGGACAACATGTTCACTGGACATTTAACCATCATAAGTTACTTGGATGTTGACTGTCGCTTTGGAAACAGGAAACAGATAGTGGTTCCCCGGTGTTAAAGTGCAATTTTCTGCTCTATAACAACACTTCACTACTTGCTAAAATGCCTGATATTGTTGGGAAGCTGGCTTGCTTGTCTGAAACAAAAGAAAAAACTGAAACAAAGAATTTTACTGTGCCAGAGAAGATTTTTATTGTACAGATTTCAGATAAACATTTCAATTGAAAGACATGAAATGCAAAATGCTTTCAAGAAAGTGAAATTAAATCTAAGGTGCAAATGCTGCTGTTTGTCATCAGACAAGCATTAGTTAGGAAGAGAAGGTTATTCTCCACTGAAGCCCAGTGTGAATAATGACTTGAAGAAAGGCTAGTGGAGGGATTTCATATGTGACACCCTATGTGCCACTGAAAAGCTCCTTTGGCAGCTTGGCTTTGAGGGTATAAAGCTTTTAGTAAAAGGGAAAGACAAGGAGGCGTCAATATGGCCAGTTCATGAGGCCAGACCAGCTAGGAATATCTGGGAAAGTGTATGAGCTATACTTTGTCCTCCAATGACCCATTAGAAAGGCTGACAACAGCCTTAAGGTTTACTGTGCTGCTCCCCTACCTACTTGAACTATCTTAACCTGTTTTAACATTTGACTTTTAAGTCAACAGGGAAGCTGTTTAAAGAAAAATGTTTGCCTCTTTCGCAAATGGAAAACCAATCTAGCCTAAACCATCCATTTAAATGTTATACATTATATCAGCATCTATGCATTCACTTTGAGAATTGGAAGGGGGGAGTCAATGTTTTGGGCCCTTAGACGGCCAAAGGTTTTTAGGGGACTAAAACTAATTCCCTGTTTGTGCCATGCAACGCCTCTTCATCTTCACCTTCTGGAAGCTCATAATGCCAACTACTTAGCAATTAGGATAGTAGCTCAGATAGCAGATAGTATGTGCTTATCTATAACTGGTAGACAATACAAGCTTTATGAAAGTTCTCCCCTCAGAGTCAAGCTGGCTGCCTCCGTCTTTAGCACATCTCGGGTTGCAATTTTGCTGCCCGGCAGCGGAGGACCTTCAGGAAGCTGTCAATCTTGTGGGAGTCCCGGCGAAAGCAGGACAACAAGAAGTGGAAGTTGGTTAGTCTGGAAATCCTGTCCTGGCTGATGTCATTGCCTCCTCTGTAGGGCAGTGAGGAGATGGACTGAGCTGCTGGACCCAACTGGGAGAGAAAGGAAGCAGGGAAGGTGGGAGGGAGGGCCGGGAAAGAGAAGAACAACATTTTAAATTCATGTTTTAAATGAGTGCAAAACGAGGGGTTTGTCTTTCTGTACTCACACACCTTGCCAGATAAGATTTCCAGGCCATCTCCCAGGCTTTTGGTGTGCTCCAGCAGCTCCCGGACTTTGCTGGATATGCTGTTTTGGGCCGGGTGAGGTAGGGTGTTAGCAGAGGTGGAAAGGATTACAAGGGGGTCTCGCCAGGCTTGGAGCAGGGAGCGAGCCAATGACAACAGGTCTGCCTCCTGGAGAAGAAGTCAGACAGATAATATAAATAATACAATAAGCTGAAGATTAATTGAAAGACAAGAGATCAAAATGATATGATATGAATACAGAAAAAAGCTGAAGTAAGGTGAGGAACACAACAATTCCTAAATTCTGGTGATAACACTGTAATAAAAACATACCTATGAATATTATATTCTATTTCTGACAATAGATCCTCCTAAATGTTACAGTCTGGACCTTTAAATCAAATCTGGCTTGTGTCTCGCTTGCAAATTGCTTCAATTAGAACTTTTACAATGTTCACTTAAGTTATTTGGGTGAAAGCTATGATAGCTCATTAATGTTTGTACATAGAACCTTCACTCCAGTCTAGTCGAGTATATCACAAGGTGATCAGTGCATCAGTGATGGCAAAATCTTTCATTTGTGGGATGAGCTTCTGTTTTCAGTAAATATAATACTCAGACACTTTGTACTTATCAAACATCTGACTCAAACTTATTATCTACAATCTGATGAATGACAGTTAGGGGTGTAGCACAAAATTATGGACCCTGTAGGTTTCCTCAATGGGCCCCTCCCCACATCCACAGCCATTTATTCTAGTATCCCCCCAGGGATGCTGGAAGGCAGTCAGAGTTGCTGAGAGAAAGTCAGTCTACACAGTGAAGTCACACTAAATGCTAAATGCACAGCATTCATGGTTTTTTCATTAATTTCAATGGACAGCATAATTTATAGCCTATTTAATTTAAATGTTTAAATCTTATAAACATTTTATTACTTTTTAGTGCAAAATCTCTTTCCTGCCATCAATACAACTGTATAAATGTAAACCCCAGTAAAAAAAAGAAAGAAGAAAGTCATTATAAGTTTAACATCTTAACACATATATATAATGAACTAATGGTTTTTATTGTGCCAGATTTTAGGGGTGTGGCAGCCCCCTCAGCACCCCTACTTTTAGCGCCCATGTATCCCCTTCAGTACTTCGCCCATGATCACTTACTGATACTTGCAGAGCTTGCTCCTTGTCATTGGGCGTGTGTAGAGAGGAGGTGTGGCACATTGAGGGGCGGGGCATCATCACCCGGCCCATCGGAGGGAAATGAGAGTCCTGGAAGGGACAGAGCGTGATTTTTACATTGTGTATTACAGTGTGATGGAAAGCAAGTTTTAAAATTCTGGAAGGTTGAAAATGTAAAAGAGTTAAAAAGAAACACGAATGCCTCTATCTACAGTCACTGTTTGGTTTGTCCCTTGTCCTGTAGCTAAAAACAACTAATTCTAAGGTGACAAAAACACAACCATTTTTATTATACACACATGAAAACATACTCTGAATATTCCATTTCTGCCACTGGATCATCCTAAATGTTACAAACTGGACCTTTAGGGTAAAGAAGTTTAATCAATCTTTCATCCCATGTAGTATTTTATTCCCACTATGCTGAATACATGACAGAACTAGACAACGGGGTCCGAGTATCCCCTACTCCATTCAGACCCTATCAGAAGCTGAAAGCACACCAAAATAGGGCTTTAACCTGAGGTTTAGCATGGACACCTCCTGACAGTGCAAACACACACACAAACTGACCAGGTCCTGGGTGAGCATCGTGCTGAGGGAGTGCAGTGTGTCAGAGCGCTGGGAGGCTCGGTCGAGCAGGTCAGAGATGGGGACGGCACTGCACGCTGCCACCATGTACAACACTGTGGAGCACGGAAATATGACGGATGATACACATCGTAAAGCCACATGTCACATACAGTTTTTCAATGGGCTTTTCAGATCCACATTCGCTGGTCAGGATAGGCTAACTGTTAGTCTAACCAGCAAATGCAACAGATTTTCAACCTGATATCAATGCAGCATGATATTTCAGTATCTTTTATACCCCTTTTCACAACATTGAATGTTTTCTGAAGGATTTAATGATTGATGATGATGATGAATTAATCACTGAATTTTGTTGGATAAAAAAGTGGAAATGCAGTTTTTTTAACGGTAAGTATCCCCCCAATACTGGATTTTTGAGGTTGATATCAGTATTTAAAAATTTAAAAAACACAGCATTGTTTAGATTCCATACAGACAGATGCAAATAATTTCACATTTTCAAATACTTTCGGAGATTGATTAAAGCTCATCTCACCCATCATGAAGAGTTTCCTTCCATTGGTTTTCCTCTGAGCCATCTCTCTTCTGTTGCTATTTGTTAGCCTTTGCTTCCTTTTTCGTCGCTGCTGTTTCTTTCTCTTTCACCATGTTGCCTCCATTTTATAGTTCCTTGACTTCAACACTTTGGTTATGCAGTGTGCTGAATGATTAAGGTTAAGGAGATTTGAATGGATGCAACAGGTTGATGATTGTGTGCGTGTGTGGCATGGTTATGGAAAAAGCCCCCCCAGGATCTTAATTAGATGGATGAATAAAACACTGATGTTTGCACAATGTTTTGTACTAACACTTCTTAATTCATTACAACATCATTTGATGGTTAAATTACTGATGACTGTGTTAAGTGTATAACTCACCTGACCTTTCATTTACTGTCAGAGCATCATGGAACTTTAAAAAGATTTCCACAATGACTGACATTGCCTCCAAATGCAATAAGTTAATTAAAAATAAATAATAAATTAGTAATAAGACTGCGCCATACTGTAGCCCAGAAGGGACTAAACCAAACACTGGCTCTAGATTGAGCTTTTTTGCGGCCACTGTAGTTTCTCATTCCCAGGACGTCAAATACAGACAACAATATAATAATATAATCAACAAATAGGTGATGTATTATTATAGGTCAAAGGTCCAGTGTGTAACATTTAGGTGGTTCTATTGTCAGCAATTATTAGTGTATAATCATCTGAAAATAAGAGTCATTGTGTTTTTGTTACCTTAGAATGAGCTGTTTATATCTACAGAGTGAGCGGGTCCTCTTCTACAGAGTCCACCATCCATGTTTCTACAATTGCACATAACGGACAAACCAAACACAAGTTTTACTGTAATTTCTATTACATGCTTGGTTGCAATCTGCAACTTCACCGCTAAATGCCCCTAAATCCTACACACTGGACCTCTAAGATAAAATAAATAATGTCATTGCTGCTCTGTGAATCCCCACAAAGTCCTCTTCTCATGAGCTGAGACAAATTTAATGTTTTTTTTTTCTTTTTTTAGCTTAGGAAGTATGAGAATTCTCTCAACCCATACAGAAACATTTAATCCTCCATGGTTTTCACTGGACAGTGTTGATATGCCAAAAAAAAAAAAAATATGGCAATGACCTTAAAAAGCCATAGCTCATTGGGCCTGCCCTTATCACAATACAAAATGTACATGTATGAACAGGCTGCACAGACAATATGTAAATGTTAGTTTTGCATAAAAGGTATACAGACATATTAGCACATATGTCTACACATGCATACAGTACAGGACAGTGACATCTTGCATGTGCCATTCTACATGTTTTCACACGATCAGTTTGTGTTTTACTGAGCTTCCACTCACTGTGCAAGAAGCAATACTGAGTTTGACAACAAGGGCAGTGACCTTTCTTTACAAACATGGCCTTCTGTTGAAGGAAGAGAAAACTAGAGAGACCAATAACGACAACAGGAAAAAAAAGGAAGATATATGTGGGAAAGAGGCGGCCCATTTCCAGTAACTCCACACAGTTCCTCTTTCTGTTGAAGTCAACCCCAATCATATTTCACTTTCAAAACATTCCGCTTCCTCTTTTTATGGCACTCATTGGGCCTGCAAATAAATGCACACAACATACACACACACAAACACACAAACATCCCCGCCCCCCCTTCAATGTGAGCATGACCGCACACTCTGACCTCCCTGCACACACTATAAAACATTAAGCCCTGGTAGAGGTGGACACCTGACGTGTGGTGAAGGTGACAGTGCTTGCTGTGTTTGTCTCTGTGAGGCTGTCACTCAGAGCTTCACCTCCCTCTGTGGCTGGTAACAAAGCTGACACTCTGATGTCGCCCCCGGGATCCCACAGAACTGACTCATCTTTACTAGTGTTCTGTAAACACAAAAGGAGACAATATTGTGGTTTGGTTGACAGAGAGAATAAATACTGGATTTTGGCATATTACTGCTTTTGCACTAGTCTGTGTACCTGATGTGTGCATGCATGTATATGTGTGTTTATGGTAATATTTCCCTCACTGTGCATCAATATAATGGGCCATTTATTTTTGCATTTGATCTTACATTTAAAAACATAAGAAATAGTCATAGGGAAAAATATCCAATGCTTTTCTGTGCAGGGATGCAGATTGAATTTTCTGCAAAAATCCAAAGGATAATAAGGTCTCATATGCTTTCTCTCTCCGCTTCCCTACAGATTCAACAGTGTGCAACACTCAACGTTAGCTTATAAAAGGAGTCTGCTCACAGTCCCACCAATACAAAGTCCAAAGTCAAGCTAACATTACTGCAAAGCTTGTTAAATGTATTGTGATGTAGTTTTAGCTGGCTAACCCTAGGTTGCTTGATAACGCAGACAAATTGTTAGTGAGCTAACATAACAAAAGATTCTTCCTCCAGCGCCCCGGGACAGATCTGGCTGTCATTTTCAGATGACTTTGTGGGCTGGTGTAGCGGGTGGCTGGTGCCAAATAACATTATTCAGCATGGCTGAGTTGCAGCTGGCTAACCTTAGCTTGACTGCTAACTAACATTATCGCTTGCAAAATACTATCTGAGTAGATATGTTGGCTAATGTAAGTTTGACTGGCTGTGGGTCTGGCATTGCTGATTCATCTGGTTGGTTGATGGGGTGATTTGTAAACTCTAAGCTAGTTGGTAGCATGTGGTCAACTGTCTAAATAAAATATAGGAACACTGCAGATAGTAACGTTATTCTAAATATGATTGTAATTTATTTTCCAGCGCTCAGTCTCGTGTGTCACATCAGGATGATAGAGGCCCCTGTGTACGGACTCTTGATTCTGCAGTTCACTTAACAGCCCCTGGTGTCATTAATAACAATGATTTTAGGAAAGTTATGTATCCAACTTTTAAAGAGCAATGCTTATTTAACTATGTGATAAATGTGCCCCAATGTGCAGCTGTCGGATTTTGCTGCATTTTTACATAAACCCTAACCCTGCTTATTTATAGGTGCCTTTTCACGCCATTGTCAGAATTGCCTGGAGGATATTTTATTATTTTGTGTGCTATATGTAAGTTAAGTGTGACCTATAGAGGGGCTAATAGTTGACAGTCAAAGAGAAAAGAATGAGACGGCTGTCAAAAAGCCAAATGTCCAGTGGAGCTGTCAAAAAGTGTGTGTGTTTGTGTGTGTGTGTGTGTGTGTGTGAGTGACAGAGAGACTCTACATGGGGGCAGGGCAGCAGGTCCTGTCACTTCAATTTCTCTGCTTTGCTGGCTATCTCCTCTAGATTGTGAAAGAGAGGGAAACCAGCCAAGACACCATCCTACAGTCCCAGAACAGCAATCTAGTTCAGTGGTTAGGGTCTGGAACCCTGGCCGGGCCCCCCTGCTGTCTCCCAGCCAAGCGTGAGTCCTGGGCCAGCAAACATAGCATCTTTCACGGGTGGCTGCTGGTGAGCACAGCCCCGTCAGCAGCATCAGCGCCAAGGAGCTGACTGGTGGAAACAGAGCAGGACTGATGACTGATGCTGGACTCATCCTCTTAAAAACATGGGGACATTTGTTATACAGCGTGTGCTGCCAGGACACTGGGGCTTTGATGCTGGTCCCGCTTATTATTTTGGAAACACAACAGTCTGAGGATTTGAGGTTTTCTAATGTTGCGCTTACTCTCACATCACCTAATACTGTATGACATATAAAGAGATAAATGTCAATGGAAATTAAAATACCTTATCATATCTATATAGTATTAGTATTAGTCCATTCTCATTGGATGTGCACTGGTGGCTTCAAGTTTCAACATCCCTCTGTACAAGTTGCATACTGGACCAGGACTGACTTCCAGACTATTTGTAAAACTTTCCACGTTCAGCAGCTGAATGTGAAAACAGTGTCTAGTGTCAAACTCTGCAGATACAGCTTTCTGTCCTGTGAACAAGAAGAATCCACTTTCTTCTTTTCTCTAAATGTTTATTATTGGTCATCATCAAATAGCATATTTGGTCTGTGTAATGACATACTACACAGTCTTCTAACCCATGATAATCAAGGGTTGCTCCACCTTCTCACATATTGACTGTAATATGTTTTCTTTGACTTGTGGCTTTTGTTCAGTTTATTTTGCCTCATTCAGACTGAACACTGTGTAATTTGATCTATATAGTGTTGTTTTAACTCAAATTAAGGACATTACAAAATGTCATCATAATGTATGTTTGCAACAAAAAAAAAGGTAGAGAATGTCTGAGTGCCTACCTGCAAATACTGACAGCAGTAAAAGACATTTTAATAACAAAGATGTATTCGTATGTGCATTTACATAATTTGGAAAGAAAAACCATTCCGGCAGTAACACCTTTTGGTATTGTGATACTCTATGACCACAATTATGTTTAATAAAATTTTATTTGCTTATTCATCAACTTAGAGCTCTTCCTCTGTATGGAAACACTGAGTGCTCTGCCCACCTACACATACAAGACAACAATAAATAAAACATGTTATTACTTACATTTAGAATGGTGCTATGCAGTGTTGCCTGTTGGTCATGTCTTGCAAATGAAATATTTATGAAACATGTCACATTGGACACTACAGAGCCCCAAGGGGAAATGCGGTAGAATAAAAAATATATATGGGGGGGGGATATATTTTTTTCTCCACCATGTCAGTGCAGGGGACTCAAACTCTAATTGGTTTGGGGCCACTGCTAGTATGCCATCTCACAGGAGGGCCACTTCAACGTTCAAATACTACAAGAAAGCGGCTAAGTGCAATATCCAAATCGCAAGAACAAACAAGAAAAAAACATTTTTGTGTTGGTTGTTTATTTTTTTATTTATTTCACACCATCACAATTTTAACTTTTTTTTTTTCGGGGAGAACTTGTGTTGCAGAAATGACCCTAGTTTCTATACATTTTTTATATCATTTTTTTCCATCTTAGTTGTTTGCAGCCAAACAACAAATGACGGCCTAGAACCTGGTCTCTTCTTATCAACTGTTTGCACACATTTTTGACATTACAATAGCTTTGAGCTTTGGCATTATCTTGCACCAAACAAAATAGAACTGTGTTTT